TTTCCAAATCTTAGCTATTATAAATTGTGCTGCTATGAACATAGGGGTGCATATGTCCTTTCTGATTGGTGTTTCTGGTTTCTTGGGATACATTCCCAGAAGTGGGACTACTGGCATCTACTAGAAAAATAACTGAGATCCAATTTTTCTATAACTAGTGAATTTTTACTATGGTACCTATTCATAGCAGTGATTTTAAAAATTGAAGCTATGTGGTGCTTGTGTCTATCTGTATGTTCAAATGTGATTATTTGTTTTTTTTACGTCTGGAGAATATTGTCAAAATTAATTTGTAAAAGAGTTCTATTTAACTCCCTTAAAAAAAACTAAACATTTACATAAATGAAATTCTCAGAAATGTAATAGAAACTAGTACAAAAGAATTTCAAGTTTAAACAGCATTAAATATAACATTTTTATTCTACCTAAACTTATTAGAGGTCAAATAAGTTTGTTATCTCTGTTACAAAAATTTTAGTAAGAAAAATAACTCAGTATATTATTTGTATAAATGTGGATTAAAAAAAGGGGGGGCCCATACTAAACCTGACAAGTTCATAGGCATGGCAGCCCTATAAACCTGTTAATAAAAATATGCCAGTCAGAGAAAGATCATTATCAGATGATCTCACTCATATGTGCAATCTAGTGAACAAAATAAACTTATGGACAAAATATATCCAGAGACACAGCAGCATGGAATAGACTATGGTATCTCAGATGGAAGGCGTGGGTAGGTGGGTGGTTGGGAAGAGATCAACCAAAGAACTTGTATGCATATATGCATAACCCATGAACACAGACAATAGTGTTCTAAAGACCTGTGTCACAGAGTGGGTGTGGCCTAGAAGGGGTCAATGGGGGAAAAAAAGGACATATATGATACTTTCAACAATAATGTTAAAAAATAAAGAAAAAATAAAATAATGTAAAAAAAATGTTTTTATTTAAGCAGTGTTGTTATACTGTTGCAGAATTTACCATGCTACTGGAAAATACACGAGTACTGGAGATTCAGGAAAAAAACACTTTATTTAAAGCAGCGCTGCTGGCTCAGGAGAGTCAAAGATCCAAAGCCTGAACAACTTATACAATGAGATTATTCCTTATATATATTTCTAAATTCTTTGTTTCCTTACTTCCGGGCTTTTGTGGTGGGCTTTCATAACCCCTCCTGAGTCAGTTAGAATGGGGAAGTTAGATTGCATCTAAATGCCTGGCCTGGGTGGCACCAGCACCCCTCCTCGCCTCTGGCCAAGCTGCTAAATTCCCAACCCATGGCCCCTGCAAACTGGGAGCACCTAGGAAAACAGACTATTGCCTAAGAAAGGAGCAGTGAGTTAATTACAGGCTAATAAAAATGTGCACTAGAACACTGGTCACTGGCACAGATTCAGATTGCTAACCTTTCCCCCCTCCCAGGTTGCCCGCTATATTCCTCCTCAATACAATATTACATTTGTTATATTAATTCCTCATGTACAATGTAGTGAGTCAATATTTTTAGACCTTACAATATGATCACCTAAATAATACTGATCAAATATCATTGACTATATTCACCTTCTTGTTTTCACCCCTTCCCTTGTGGTAACCATCCCTTTGATCTCTAATTCTATGAGTCTGTTTTTGTTTTCTTTTGTTTGTCCATTTGTTTTGTTGTGTGTATTTTTTTAAAATTTTGTTTTATTGCTTAAAGTATTACAAAGAGTATTACATATGTCTCCTTTTTCCCCTCCTTGACCTTCCCCCTACTTATATGTGACAGCACAACATGGATGGATCTAGAGCAGGGGTGGGCAACCCCTGGCACGCGTGCCAAACATGGCACACCAGTAACTTTTGCTGGTACGGGAAACCCTCTCTTATAATCTTCCATTTACAATTTTTTTCTTAATATCGACTTTTTTATTTTTCAGATAAATTCAGTGTAGGTGCATCTTAGATAAATAAATAATTTTACATAACAAGTTATCTTAAAGACCATAGACATAGATTGACAAGAGAGGGGAAGAGCACTTTCAATAGTGTCGAAAACGAACTATTGAGGACTTGGAATGTCATTCCAGAACATTTTTTCTGTTTAAAAAACTTTGTTGCAACAGTACTCTCCAAGTTTTCATCCACATACGCTAGTGAATCTTTGTTCTCAGTGATGAATTTTGTTAAGTCTCATAATAGGAGTAGCCTGACGGATGAAAGTAGTAGCTCGTGCATATCTCTGAAGGTCACGAAACATAAATCTGATGTAAAATCTCTGTCATCAGTGATGCAGCAGCAAAAGTCCCACTGATAATATCAAACGGAGTCATAAAGTTTTCTGTCGGACTATCAGTGTACATGTATACATTAAAAAATAAATGTATTTTTCATCATCATATACTGTGTTTTTGTCGCTCAAATGAATTTTATTATTTCTTCAAGGTTCTTCACATACGTACACCTTAAGAGATATCAAGTAGGCGTAACATGTTCTCAAAAAATTAGGGTTGGCACACAGAAGAATTTTGAGTCAGAGATTTTGCTGGTTTTGGCATGCACTCACAAAAAGGTTGCCCACTCCTGATCTAGAGGGTATTATGCTAACTGAAGTAAGCCAGGGAGAAAAAGACATACTTTATGGTTATAACTATTAAAGTACACTTTCATTTTCTGTGACTTTTATGGCTTAAAGAAAATGTGTGCTTTCTTCATAGACACATTTTGTTTCTTTAATTACATTCCATTTTTCTTTAAGTGTTTCCATTTTTTATTTTCTGTGAAATTTATTTCAATATAATTTAATGCTAATTGTATAAAAGGATTTCAGCAATGTGTTTAGCGCACACACACACACACACACACACACACACACACACACAAAATCTCTCAAAGGTACAATTCACTGCAGGTTTCCTGTGCTAAAGATTTCTTACAATGAATGCAGGCTATGACTTAGTATCCTGAATCTTGCTTTATGTGTAATTATTTTGAACTAAGCCTTTTCACAGGACACCCAGCCTTACCATATCATCAAATCTTCAGAGCAAGCAGACCATGTTATGATCTTAGAGGCTGTGGGAAAAAACGAATGACAGTAGTAAACACAATTGTTTATTTAAAGAGATAAGGATAAAGCTTTTGTTTAGACTATAGTTTTTAGTCAGCTGCCAAGAAATAAAAAATAAAAAAAATTACACTCCGTCAATGTATGCACAGCAGCAATAATGACATGGTTCATAGTATCCATTTCTTGTCCCATCCATATCTGGTTTGGGCATCAGACTAATGCTGGCCTCAGAATAAATGTAGGTGTTTCCTTCTCTTTAATTTTTTGAATAATTTGAAAAGGATTGATGCTAATTGTTATTTAAATGTTTGGTAGAATTTGCCTGTGAATCCATCTGGTCCTGGGGTTTCTGTTTGCAGGAGGTTTTTGATTACTAAATATATCTCCACTATTTATTGACCTGTTCAGGTTTTCCATTTCTTCCTGGTTTAGCCTTGTAGATTGTATGTTTCTAAAAATGTATCTATTTCTTCTGCTATCTATTTTTGCATATAATTGTTTATAGTAGTGCCTATGATCCTATGTATATTTCTGTAATATCAGTTGTAATATCTCCTCTTTTATCTCCATTTTGTCTTCTCTATTTTATTATTTTTAATAGTGATTTCAAGAGTAAAATATTAATAATTTATTACTTTAAAGAGATTTTTGTATGTCTCTTTCTAATTTTTTCCTTACAATATTTTTTCCTTCACCATTTATCCTCCCTATATCTTATTCCACTGCCACTATCCCTTAACCCTCCTCCCCCGCAATCACCACCCTGTTGTTTGTCTCCATGAGTTCTTCCCCCTTTGGTTTTCTTTACAACTAGTCTAGGTAATGTTTTACTAAATGTGCTTATCTTTTTGAAAATATCTTCCTTGTTTTATTCATCTTTGCTATTGTTTTGTATGGTCTCTCATTTATTTCCATTCTGATCTTTATTATTTTCTTTTTTTGGCTAAATATGGGCTTAATTTTTTTAAGTTATTTGATGTGTTACATTAGGTTATTTATTTCAGTTCTTTTATATTTCATAACATATACATTCATCAGTATAAACCTCAGAACTGCTTGTGCAGCACCCAATATGTTTGGGTAACTCATGTTTCCATTTTGTTTTGTTTTGGGTTATTTAAAAATGTTTTATCATTTTATTTTTTCTTTGACCTAGTGGTTATTGAAAAGTATTTTTTTAATTTTCAAAATTTTTAATATACAGATCTTGTCACATAGAAACACACCTGAAACCTATATGACCATGTCAACCAATGTCCCCCCAATATATTTAATTTAAAAAAATTTTTGTAAATTTTCCATATTTCCTTTTGTGGTTGATTTCTATTTCATACATGGTACAATTTAAATATATTTTTAAATTTTTATTTTATTTTATTGTTGATAGTATTACAAATGTCCACAAATTTCCTCTCCACTATAGCTGCCTCCTCCCAGCCCCAGCCCCACCCCAGGCCTTTCCCACACTATTGTCTCTGTCCATTGGTTATGCATATCCTATATAATAAAGAGCTAATATGCAAATGGTCATCATGCCCTTGTGTCTTCACGTCCTCAAGCCGGGGTCAGGGGACCTGACTCCGTGGCCCCCACCCTGGTGCCGGGGCCAGGGGACCTGAGGCCATGCCTCCCCACCCCAGCACCAGGATCTGGAGACCTGAGGCTGGGCTGGGGGACCTGAGGCCACGCCCCTCACCTTGGCACTGGGGCTGGGGGATCTGAGGCCATGTCCCCCGCCCAGCGGGGCTGGATGAAGGACCTGAGGCTGTGCCCCCCACCCAGTGGGGCTTGACAGGGGACCTGAGGCTGCATCCCCCGCCTGGCAGGGCTTGATGGGGGTGGAGCTGGCTGGGTCTGGGTCTTGCTCGATTTCGAGGTGTGTGCGGGTGGGCGGGGACTTGACTCTGGGTCCCATAGCATGCCCCAGACTCTGACAGGATGGAGATTTTCATATACATTTTACTAATTTTCTTTCATCTCTGACACTTCTATTATAGAGAAAGGGCAAATAGCAATATTAAAATATTTCCTCTAATTAATTCCCTTTTCATGTGCACGAATTTTGTGCACTGGGCCACTAGTAGGTATATAAGTTGTTTGGTTAATCTCTTCCTGTCTCTCCCCTCTCCCTCTGAGATATATCATTCTGTTCCATGCTTCCATGCCTCTGGACCTATTTTGTTTGTAACTTTATTATGTTCATTAGATTTCACTTATAAGTAAGATCAAATGATTTGACTGGCTTATTTAACTCATAATAATAATTTCTAGATCCATCCATGATGTTTCAAATGGTAAGAAATCTATCTTTTCTATAGCTATATTGTATTCCATTGTGTAAATGTAGCACAGATTTTTTACTAACTCATCTACTCATGGGTACTTGGGCTGTTTCCACATCTTACCTATTGTAAATAATGCTGCCATGAACATAGGGGAGCATAGATTCTTTTTGATTGGGGTTTCTGGTTTCTCTGGATATATTACTAGAAGTGGCATCAGTGGGTCAAATGGCAGTTCCATTTTTAATCTTTTGGGTAAATTTCACACTGTTTTCCACAGTGGCTGCACCAGTCTGCATTTCCACAAGCAGTGCATTATTTTCTCTACATCATCGCCAGCACTGTTTTTTTTTTTGTTGTTGTTGTTGATTTATTGATGATAGCCATTCTGGCAGGTGTGAGGTGATAACTCATAATAGTTTTAATTTGCATCTCTTTGATGATTAGTGTTGTTGAGCATTTTTAAAAAAATATATTTTTATTTATTTCAGAGAAGAAGGCAGAGGGAGAGAGAAATAGAAACATCAATGATGATAGAGAATCATTGATCTGTTATGTCCTGCATGACCTCTATTGGGAATCAAGCCCACAACCCGGTCATGTACCCTGACTTCCTGGTTCATAGGTTGACACTCAACCATTGAGCCACACAGCCAGGCAAGCATTTTTTATGTGTCTATTGGCTGTATGTCCTCTTTGGAGAAATGCCTATTCAGGTTCTGTTCACATTTTAAAATTGGGTTCTTTGTTTTCCTTTTGTTGAGCTGTATAAGTTCTTTATGTATTTGGGAAATTAACTCCTTATCAGATGTATCATTGGTAAATATGTTCTCCCATACAGTGGATTCACTTATCATTTTGATGATGGCTTCTTTTGTGTTGCAGAATTTTGATGTAGTCCCATTTGTTTATTTTTTTCCTTTGTTTCTCTTGTCCTAGGCAATGTATCTTTGAAAATTCTGCTATGTGAGATGTCTGAGATTTTGATGTCTATGTTTTCTTCTAGGATTTTTATATTTTCGTGAGTTACATTTAAATATTTTATGCATTTGGAGTTTATTCTTGTGTATGGTGTAAGTTGGTGATCTAGTTTCATTTTTTTGTATGTAGCTGTCCAATTTTCCCAAAACCATTTATTGAAGAGACTGTCTTAACTTCATTGTATGTTCTTGCCTCTTTTGTTAAATATTAATTGAGCATAACGGTTGGGTCAATTTCTGGGGCCTCTGTTTTGTTCCATTGATATATATGCCTGTTCTTGTGCCAGTACCAGGCTGATTTGCTTAAAATGGCTTTGTAGTATAGATTGATATCCGGTATTGTGATCCCTCCATTTTTGTTCTTCTTTCTCAAGATTGCTGTAGATATGCAGGGTCACTTTTGGTTCCATGTAAACTTTTTGCATATTTGTGCTAGATCTGTGAAATACTCCATTGCTATTTTAATAAGAATTGCATTGAATCTATAGATTGCTTTGGGTAGTATGAACATTTTAGTGATGTCAATTCTTCCAATCCATGAACACGGTATATGTTTCCACTTGCTTGTATTTTTCTCTATTTCTTTTTCAATGGCCTGTAGTTTTCTAAGTATAAGTATTTTCCTTCTTGGCTCAGTTTATTCCCAGGTACCTTATTTTTTTCATAGTATTGGGAAATGGGATTATTTTTTAAATTTCTCTTTATGAGAGTTCACTATTGGTGTATAAATATGCCATTGATTTCTAGATGTTGATTTTGCATACTGCTAATTTTCTGAATTCATTTTAATTCTCTTGGTTTTATGGTGGAGTCTTTATGTTTTTCTAATTACAATAGCATGTATTCTGTGAATGACAATTTTATTTCTTCCTTTCCAATTTGGATGACATTGATTTTTTTTATTCTTGTCTGATCACTGTGGCTAGAACTTCCAGTACTATGTGGAATAGGAGTGATAAAGTGGGCTTCCCTGCCTTGTTCCTGCTTTTAAGGGAAACACTTTTAGTTTTTGATCATTGAGTATGATGTT